GATCGGCTGGGTGCCACGAGCTGGTGGAGGGTGCGCAAAATGTTGATAAGGTGGCTTGATTACGCTCGTCGCGTTGTCGTGACGACTGTTGAAGGGTGCGGAATCCGGGAAATGTGAAATGGCCTGGTCCGTGGCGGGTCTGTCGACGCTGCGTGCCAGTGGCATTTCCAAGGACGGCAGCACCACACTTTTGCCAGCAGCACATGGTTGACCACAAAAACAGACGAAGAGATAGGCCCTGTTGAGCATCTGCACAAGAAACAGGCGGGACGTGTAAGCGTTGGCCATTGAAGCGTTGCTTCCAAGCCCACTGGTGCGCGCGCGATCGATGCAAGACTTTTTAGCACTGGTCGGTGATGTCAGGATCAGCTGGGTGCCACGAGCTGGTAGACGGTGCGCAAAAAGTTGATAAGGTGGCTCGACTACGGTCATCGCGTTGTCGTGACGACTGTTGAAGGATGCGGAATCCAGGAAAGTACGAAGCATTTTTAGCGAACTTCAGCGACTTTGAGCGTATCTATCTATCTATCTATTGATTGATTTGTGGGGTTTAACGTCCTAAAACCACCATATGATTATGAGAGACGCCGTAGTGGAGGGCTCCGGAAATTTCGACACCTGGGGTTCTTTAACGTGCACCCAAATCTGAGCACACGGGCCTACAACATTTCCGCCTCCATCGAAAATGCAGCCGCCGCAGCCGGGATTTGAACCCGCGACCTGCGGATCAGTAGCCGAGTACCTTAGCCACAAGACCACCGCGGCGGGGCTATCTATCTATCTATCTATCTATCTATCTATCTATCTATCTATCTATCTATCTATCTAGCCGCCTACGACTATTAGCTCTTTTGGCCACTTCGATTTTGGTAGAAGTACCAAAGTTGGTATAGCATAGCGTGACTGTATGACAAGCATAACTTACTAGTCTTTCCACAATAATAATGACATGGGTGTCATAAAAGTCATGATTTACATTTCATACCCTGCAGCTATTGCGGTGGTTTCGTTCGCATGACATGTTGCAGAACTGGTATGGTATGACGTAATTGCATAGCGAACACAAGCGACATACCCTAACATGAAAATTACGCTATGCGTGTCTGGTAACAACATGACTATATGCCAAGCTCATGATGCGTTCGTGGCCGTTTCGCTAGCGTCACATATACTATATTTGGTGCTACGTGACGTCAATAGATGAGGAAAGAGTACTACTAGTGCAAACTTGATAATCCTTCAACGCATGTCATGTAAGATCATGACAACATACCACACTCATAGCATGCTCGCGGTCGTTTTGCCAGATTCACATATGCTAAATTGGGTATCACGTGATGTGAATAGATGAAGAAGGTAAACGGGACATTCAAACATGATAATCATGATACGGAGGTCATGTACGGCATAATTTACCCTCACCTCGTAACATTGTGCTGATTTTAAAGTGACATACCAACATTTCTCATTCTTGCTTCGCATATCATCTATTCCCACTGTACGTGGAATCTGCCATTTTTTTTTACACCATGCAGCCTATAGCGCCGCTCGTCACACGAGGCGATTCAAATGCGAAGAATTTCTGGTCATGGTCCTGCAGCTCTTGCGGTGGTTTCGTGCACAAGGCATGTTGCAAAACTGGTATGGCATAACATGATTGCATAACAAACACAAGGGAAACATGAAAATTATGACATGCCTGTCATGTAACAACATGACTACATGCCATACATATGACGAGCTGGCGGCCGTTTTGCTAGCTTCACATATGCTAAAGTTTGTATTACGTGGCGCAAATAGATGACGAGGAAATGTGACTGGTGAAAACATGATTACGAGGATCGTGTCATGTGAGAACATGACTACATGCCACATTCAAGGAGTCAATGCATTTCGAGATGACGCGGCGTGCGTACTCACTAGCAGTCATATCATCGCGTCACGCCGGCGTTGCCATGCCAGGCGTCCTGTCCAGCTATATACTCGCACGTGCGCGCCGCACTGCGTCTCTTTGGCCCATGCGCGTTTCAGCGCGTCCGGCAAACCTCCGTCACGAAAACAGGGGACTAGGTGTTGTTTGGGTAACGTATCAGCGCGAATTGCAGCATGTTGCATTTCGCGCTAGTTGCCGCCGGGCCGCACCGACAGACGCTGGTCGCGTCTGGAATTAGGCTATATTGTGCTCACTTTTTGCGAACGTAGCGTCGCTGTGCCCAGCGTGCGTGAGCGTCAGCGCTTCACTGGAGTACATTGTGCTCTTTATGATGTGCTCGTGGCCATTTTGCTAGCTTCGAATATACTAAATTTGATGTTACGTTACGTCTTTGTATGACCAAATATATGACTGGTGGAAACATGATAATCCTGACACGCGTGTCATGTAAGAAACTGACGACATACCGCGCTCATAGCGTGCTCGCGGCCGTTTTGCTAACTCCACATATGCTAAATTTGGTAACCCTTGACGTGAATAGATGACAATGGTAAACGACACAACCACACTTGGTGATTATGATACGTAAGTTATGTACGGCATCATTCACCTTCACCTCGTAACGTTGTGCTGATTTTAAAGTGACATATAAATAATTCTCATTCGTGCTTCGCATATGATCGATTCCAACTCTACGTGGGGTCGGCCAATTTTTTATGCCTTGGGAAACGCGGTACGCGTATCCAGCTTTAGTAGCTAGCGTACACGGTTAAAAATGCTATAGGTCCCGTTAAGTCGAGTTCTCCCGTTTGATTGCAGCGCCAGAATGCAGGCTAGCATAAAAAAATCAACCTTGACACAGCGTCGGTAAAATTGGAAACCGACGCACGTGTTTCGCACCTTGTGTTTCGCACCTTGTGTTTCGCACGTGTTTCGCACCACGTGTTTCGCACGTGTTTCGCACACCTGTCAGCGAATCGTGGCTGGGATACATAGAAGACGCGCGCACGCCTCTATTTTCTGCATCCGCCTTACGGCGACTGTAAGAGACTTTGAGACGGGCAGTGTATAAAGTAGTTTGTAGAATAGCGTGAACAACGTTGCTTCCTCTTGCATACACAACTCATGATTATCATGTTTGCAGCAATCACATACCCTCATCATTCGTTGGCGTCAAGTAATATCAAGTTTGGCGTATGTGAAGCTAGCAAAACGGCCGTGAGCGCATCATGAGTGTGGCATGTAGTCATGTTGTTGCAAGACGCGCATGTCGTGATTATCATGTTTGAATGTGTCATTTACCTATGTCTTCCGTTCACGTCGCGTAATACCGAGTTTGCTACATGTGAAGCTAGGGAAACGGCCACGAGCGCATCATGAGCGTAGCATATAGTCATGTTACATGACACGCATCTCATTTTCATTAGGTTTACACCAGTATCATTGCTTCGCCATTCATTCACGTACTGTAATACCAAGTTTGGTATATGTGGCGCTAGCAAAACGGCCGCGAGCGCATCATGAGCGTGGCATGTAGTCACGTTGCTAAACGACACGCATATCCCAATTTTCATGTTACTGTCAGTCTCTTGTGTTCGCCATGCAATCATCCCATATCCTACCAGTTTTGCAGCATGCCATGTGAACTAAACCACCGCAAAAGCTGCAGGACCACAAAATGTAAATAATGACATTCTTGACATACATGTCATGATTTTCATGTTATGACTAGTCAAATATGTTCTTCATACAGTCCTGTTATGCCATAACAAGTATGGTATCGTTACCATTATTGAAACGGCCAGGAGGGCTAAACGTCGTAGGTGGATAGATAGATAGATAGATAGATAGATAGATAGATAGATAGATAGATAGATAGATAGATAGATAGATAGATAGATAGATAGATAGATAGATAGATAGATAGATAGATAGATAGATAGATAGATAGATAGATAGATAGATAGATAGATAGATAGATAGATAGATAGATAGATAGATAGATAGATAGATACGCTCAAAGTCGCCGAAGATGACTAAAAAATGCTCCGCATTTAAAACCGCGTGCTTAGCAACGACCGACTACAGGCATAAGCATTGTTAGTACCCACTTCCTGCTTAGGAGCTTGAGAAGGCTTATGAACAAACCTTGCTGAAACGTTTCACTAATATTTTATTTTGACTTGATCTCGCCAACATTATTATTCTTCTTTCACTGGCAAGTGCCAACACTGTGGGTAGGTGGCTGACACCTGCTACATCCTCTGGGCTCGTCCGCTTAACTCAGCCCTTCCTCCAACCCAAAGCCAAACCGAGAGGATCGGGATGCGATCCTGCTCTGTTGCCCAGACCTTCCGGCCTAAAAAAATATGATCTGAAGGGCTACGCTCGTGGATCTCACCAATGGGGTCCTTGAACAAGGACTGCATCCACTGTGGAGCCTCAAGAGGCCAACACCTCTCTTTTGTTTCTCAATAAATATTTTCTTGCCCTAACTCACTTTGTTATAATTGTTCATTCTCGTGGCTTATCTTAGTTCTTGTGCAATGGCATAGTACTGCACCATACCGACCTCTTCGTGCGCGCGCCATAGACTTCCAGGTGACAGGTGCAGCGTGGCAGGTGCTTCAGGCAGGGCACAAAGCAGCGGCTAGTGAAAGTGCCCGTCTGAGGCCTCCTCGGGTCTCCCACCTTCATCCTCTCATGGGCACGTTTGATTAACAATATCTTTCACTCAATCCTGCAGCCCTCGAGCACCCCGTGGTAGGTGGCAGAGAACTCTTCAGCGTAGCAGTCGGCGCACCTGAGTTTTCTTGCTTCTTTGCCCAATTTCGCTTCACACAACAGCATGCTGCAAGTATTCAGGCAAATAAAGCAGTGCGTTATCTTCTTTGTTGTGAAGCAGCCGTACCCCCTTAAATTGTTTTTTATTTGGTGAGGCTCACTTACTGCTAGATTATTTCGTAAAGTTGTGTAACTCATATTTCACATGTGGTCACTTTAAAACGTGCCGGTTCAGGTGAGCTTCGCGTGCCGTTTTGTTTTTCTGCCTGGACGCACGTCGCAGATGTCCAACACAGGAGAAGCTTTGTGTGGCCGCCTGGCGGTAGTGACCGGTGGAGGAGGAGGCATCGGTGGCGCTGTCTGTCACCTGCTTGCAGAGAAAGGAGCCCGCGTGATCGTCGCTGGCCGCACTTTGGAAACTCTCGAAGCCGTTACTGCGGTGCTGCCGGGTGAGATACAAAGAATGTGTTTTCTCAAAGTTCTGGGAAAGTTTTTCAACGCAGTCATCGAAGGCGCTAGCATGGCATATTGCCATATTTCGAGCGTACTATAGAGTTTATAATTCGTAATAATAACTTTGTATTTTTTCACTTCACCGGCTTCCATTTATTTCGCTTGTTCTTTTGATGCGTTATCGGTATCTTGATGTGACGAAAAATTAATCAAAAAGTAAGAAAAGTGTTCTGACGAAAGAACGACCCGGTATCTTTTTACGCGACACCGCTGTAATGTGTTTTAAAGAATTATATAGACGCGGGCGCTGGTGTTCTTACAATGCGGGCATGATGCCACAATCAGTGATTGTATAATGAAAGCACAACTGATTAATTGCACTTTTTCCTGGAGGGAAATCGAGACGCGAAATGAGGAGACTTAACACAGTTTAGTTTGGCGTGCGCAACGCCTACGAAACACAACGCGTGGTGCTCTGGGTACGTATCGGCTGAGGCTGTCGCGCACAGGGTAAGTTTGCCGTACGCAATAACCAAAACAGTGGAGTGCGATTCACCGTAAACAGGCCTTCAACTTGATTGCTTTGCTGCGCCACCTAAAGGCGAAGAAATTACCTGCAGTAACCGAAGGACGCGGCCTTCTTTCACTGCAACCATGCTGTTAACGCTCGCAGCCGTCGACGTCTCGCCACACAGCCGCCGGTAAAGTAAGCAATGGCCGGAGCTGGCGCATTGTTAGCGCCGAGATCTAGCACACGCATCTTTTGCTCAGCGCCAACGCACGCATCTTTCTGAGGTTCAGCGCATGCGCAGTGCTGCTCTCTCTCGCTCGTTGCGAGCGCAAGGCCAGTTGCGCGCTCTAAGATATAACTCTGTATTATTGCGGTCGCCATTCTCTTACCGAGTGACTCTTGTAATGGCAGCAATCGAGTAAATGGCTACAAACAGGCATATTTTGTGATTTGCATCCCCATAGCTGTTGTCACTTGAGTTACTGGCTTTTGGTAGTATGGAAGACGAAGGAGCGATGTAGGACCTGCCTAAAAATTCATGCGTAGAAGAAAAGTTGTCCCTGTGCTAGGGTTAGGACTTTGTTATTATTCTAGAATATATGCACTTGGTAGATTCTCCGGAGAGTAGAAGTCGTGTCAAGTTTATTGGCGCTTTTTATTAGGCAGAATTGCGGGGACAGCGAGAAAATTTCTTTGTTATATATTTTAGTTCTCTGACAGATACACAGCCCTTGTCTATGTGAGCAAAGCGGCCTTCTATCATGTCTGTTGTGGCACATATTATTTTGTCACATTACAGGCTAGAAAAAAAATCCGCTATAGACGTTTCGATTCTATACTCTTTCACTCTGCTACGCTCTACGTTTCTATTATACGCCCTTCAATTCATGCAATGTTTTGTGCAACTGTTAACAACTATGTACATGCCTCTAGAAAATGAGCTGTTGGAATTTCTATTGTCTATGACCAATACCATTCGCCTAAATCTAAATGCGTGGGTCTCAACAATTTCACCTACATCTAACTTCGGCTACCGCAGCCCGGATTCCACTCGACGGCATTTCATCAGTCGAGCAGTACTCGTCACTGGAGCACTGTGTCAGAGTATAGCCTTAACCTGTGGTATGAAGAGAATTTTCGAGCAAATATATGTATATGGGACAAATCATTTAGCTTTCCATTGGATCTGATCTTGGTTTTTTTTTAATAGGGCACCTCAACCACAAAGCCATACAAGTGGACGTTGGTGACTGCCACCTCGGTGCAGAACTTATTTGATAACGTGAAGAAGTTAAGCCAAGTGCCAGTTAGTATCGTGGTCAATTGTGTGGGCCATGTAGACGTGCAGCAACCAACGGCTGCCGAGACGACCGAGAACAGCTTCGACCGTATGGTGCGGGTGAATTTCAAGGTGGGTCTTAAGAACGTTGCACGACGGTCCTAAAGGCTTTCTGCTACTTTTAGGTCACCTTGCGTTAAACTACTATATCAATGTTATGCACTTTATCACCTGCCTTGGTGTATTATGTGCTCCAAAACTGGCAAATAATAAAGATTTTTCTGAGCAAGACAAGCCTGTACACTAGGTGGGCGACTAGCTTATTCCAGGCAGCCACCGGTGACGGCACTAGCTTGAGTCCTATTTATCTCGCTTTGCTGATTCGCCGGTTCTGTTCGGGATAGCATGGCCTCCAACCGCATTCCGGTTATTGTTTGGTTGCATTTGATGCCAGCTTTTTGTACGCATCTCTATACCAAGTGGCATATTGTGTCTCAGACATCAAAGTGCACGCAGTGATATGGGTGCTCGGTTGGTGAAATTAGGCACATTACGATACTGTGATCGTATGTAATACTTTGATTTTTTTTACTGGCGCTACACTTGTTAGGCTGAGGTGAGGTGGCAGTTAAATTCTTTTGAGGCTATAGTACTGAACATTATCACAAATGGAATGTATAAATTTTAAATGAAGTACCGCACTAGTGTGATATACTCAATACAGAGCACTACCTAGAACCAAAGTCATTATAGCGCACCTTACTATCATCAGTAAACGTGCGCCACTAGCGTGAGCACTGAACATGTTGACGGTTGATATATTTATTTTTGTGGTTAAGCGTTTTCAAGCAGCATACTGCAGGTTGATTTTTTAAATATTTTTGTACTTAAGTGTTTTCACGCAATATTGAGATGCTGTAGAACAAGATCATGCCAAATAATTTTCACACATTATTTTTTAAAAAACATTACACAAAAAAGAAAACTATTTTCTCATAGAGTATGCTGATTGACAAGAGTATAAAAGTGGAATTTAGAGCCTAGAGCAGTGAAGATGTTTGTTCAATTGAAAGGAGTTATTGATGTATTACAGTGGCAGTACACGAAAGAAAAACGTGCGGCTGAACTTATTTCGGAGAAACCTCATCATTGAAAAGCCAAAGTTCGTTAAGGACCACACATATAAAAACAGTAAAGTAAGGTCAGATAGTTTGGGGAAAAACGATGTTATATTCAACATGTGTGGTACCGAGGAACTCACTAAAGTGATCTCACATAGATAGGTCGTCCTGAAAACAAAAAAAAAAGTGCTGACACTCTTCTGGGTTGACATCGGCAAGGTATACTGTTCTGCCGGCACTTGCGTGAAAAACGTCTGATCGCGCGTTCCACTGAAGTTCTTGTTGTTGGCGTGGTCATTTCATCCTTGTACTGGATATAAACTACGAGTACATAGGTCAAAATGACCAAAAAAGTGAAGCAAAAGTGAAGAAAGCGCTAACGTCTCACCGATTTATTTCACTAGTGTACAAAAGCTTTATAACAACCAAGCCCTTGCGCAAAGTGCCGAACAAGGGTGCAATGCAGGATGGCCTCCTCGGGCAGAGGAGTTTGCTTCAAGCTCGCTCTGTGGCGGGAATTGCATGGATACAATGTGGAGCGCGTGATAGCAGCGTTGATAAAAATAACTACTAGAAAGCGCATGTTGTCATAAACGCATGTGAGGCATTTAAGGCGGTTAATAAACAAACACCACGTGCGAACACGTCAGCGCCACCACTCAGTCAATATTTCTACAGTTCCGTGATGTCAACATGATTGTCGCAATATCTTTTTGCTTTGGAAACTCAACACGCGCCTTCCAAGGCGTGAGTGGGGGTGTTTGTCCTATTTCTGGTGGGTTCTCTCGATACACCTGCAATGTGGAAATTTTCACTCTGTAGGCAGCAAGGGTGCACATGCAGTACTCTCGTGCTGCTCGTTTGGATTGTATTGAATATTGAATCTAAATATAAGGCCAGCTTTGCAGCAGGGGCGCTCGTATTATGACGCATCTGTGAGTCGGCGTAAAGAGTCAGCGCGATGAAATTGATTACGAAAAAGCGTCACCACATGATGATATGTTTTTTTTTTATTTCTGCATGCATGTGCACAGTCTGCGTGAAAAAGCTGATATATGGATCGTGCCACTCGATGGCGTTGTGGCATATGCACTACTCCTCTGCAAGAGAAAACATGGTGGGCATACCCTTGTTCACTGTGGGCGTGTTCGAATCAAATTATTTACGAATGTGACCTCAGATACAAACACGTTAATTCTGAGAAAGCTACAGTTCAACTCGTGACCATCATGGCGCTGGTATGAATGTAAAGCGTTTGATTCAGTGGACGACAAGCAGCAGCTACTTTGCATATGAAGCAATATGGTAAGCTTGCACTGTTTTGCGAGGATTGAGCCAAGAGCTTTTGATAACGCTGCTTGTTCTGGCTTTTTAAGTCAGTCGTATCCTCATCTACATGGTCTCCTTCGAAGTGATCTCCGCATCAGCTCTATGTTAAGTTTGGTTATACAAAGCTAGGCATATTGAACATAACAATAAACAGTTGTCTCGGTCTATATGGTTTCAATTAAAACGGCAATCATTATCATGGGTGAACTTAGCAATGTCATGATTAGTAAGGAGTTATTTAACCTAATGGTAATCATTAAGATCCCGTCATCATCATAATGGTATAATCTACTGAGTATAGTTTTGCATAGCGGGTTCATCATTATCGTAATGTCAATTAGCATTGTTTAGTTAGCACTTCAACTAGTCTGTTTTTGATACGACGGTTTTACTTTACATAGCTACATTGGCACGATCCTATTGGGTTGTGGCGGAATTCTCTTTATCTTACTACGATTTCACCTAATTAGTTTGGTCTTAGCTTGTCCTAGCCTCACTAGCCATATATAGAGACCAGATGGATAAATAGTCAGCTTGAGATTACACAGCATCGTATCATGCTGTTTTTCAGAAGCACTCAAGAAGTTCGGTGGTCCGTAAAAATCACAAAATAGTTTTTGTGCCTTTGCGCGTATGTGAAACCGTCGGCCAAGGTCCCAGGATTTTTTTGTCTGTGAGTGGTCGTGAATCCATCTGACAGAGCTTGGCTGCCATAACACGTCGTCCTATCTGTATCGATTTATCCATCTCTTTTTACCCTTCTTTTCACTTTATCTTTTTTCTTTCTATGTTTCCTCTTTCCCCCCCCCCCCAAGTGCAAGGTATCCAACCGAGCCCAGCCTGGTTAGCAGCTCCCTGGCTTTCCTCTCTATTTCTTTATCTCTCCTTTTCTATACCATCCATCCAAATAAGTAATTAGCCCACTGCGAATTAGCTATTTGTATGGTTGGTATCTTTACTTAGTGTACTGGCAGACGACAAAATTAAAGAGGGCGTGCACCAGCCAAGCAGCGCGCTAGATTGTACAAGGAGACCATGACGATTAACGCGTGGTCTCGTGTTCAGCTGTGTTTGCGATATTGTTAGGCGTTTGGCCGGAACTAATATCAGAAGCTACCATGCTAATTATTCCAAACCACACTCAGCGCAGAAAAAAAAACGCTTCAAATGTACTTACACAGCCTGCGCCGTTAGAAAATACCATTAGGATGTGTTTCGGCGCTTTTATTTCATGGGTGCACTCTACACTCAGTCAAAGGGCAAACTGCAAAAAGAAAGGCTTCTGGTTTGGAAATATTGCCCAACTTTGTTGACCGCCCTTGGCGTGATGCCTGTCTATTGGTAAAAAATGAAACGCTTCGCGCTAAGGCAGGAACTAAACTCTTTCATACTGTTGCTTCATTCAAAAAAGGATGTCGCCAGCACTAAAAAATATTCCCGAGTATTGCCAAAGTCGGGCAATTCTGCATAGCACCCCAATATACGCACACCACATTGCCGTGAACACGCTTTCTGACAACACCTCACAGAGAAAAAGAAAATGGACATGTTGATATAAAGATCCCCGAATTTCTCCTTAGTGAGGCTTGCAACAATTTTTCTCTGCTCTATTTGCTTAGGCCAGCAATCATAATCGTGTCTAGCTGTGACTCAATTACTATGGCAATAAGCACGTTCGCTGGCCGAAGTGCGTTTTTTGTGGAGGGCCTCAGCCAACGGCCGACAGAACATGCAGACAAAAAATCGAGATACCTTACATCGTCACACAGTGAAGAAGGGAGATACGTGACTTTGACTAGGACCTCCCCACAATACATGAGCTGGCCAAATCAGCCAACATACTCTGATCGAAGTCACGGAGCTCGAGAGGGCGCTCCTGTTACAGGAGTGGTACTTGATTTTCAAGCCGTTTCCCGTCCAGGAGCCGTTCCTGACCAAGGGGCTCGGCCGTCAACACTAAGGTGCCTGCTGCCCCTGAGACCGAGTGGGCTGACGCATCGAACAATCCCAGAAACAGGTAACGGGGGGAATGGCTCCAATGAATAACAATGATAGAATAGTTCGGCTGGAAATGGAGAACATTGCACTAAAAGAGATAATTGCCCAACTTAGGGTCGAGATGGTCACACTTAAGAATGCTAATACCGCTAAGAGTGAGACTCTACAACCTCCTCAGGCCACTAGACTCAAAACGTTCCTTGAAATACTATTGAAATTCCCGTAAAAACACCTATGAAAGCAGCCTTGGAAACGCCGGCTGAAAATAAGTCCCTGAAATTGCAGTGTACAGTTCGTCCGGCCAAAAAGAGGGCTTTGACAAGGCTCGTACTTGATGAAGAACAACATACATCTCACAGGGTGATTGGGTCATGGGACGCTGCAATGGCGGATGGAGCTGGGTTCCTGGTGTAGTGACCATATGTCAATCATTATTGGCTTACAAAGAGGATGCATACAGAAAATTTACCAACGCGTAGTGATCACATATTTGAATAAGTTTCGAAAAAATTATCAATTGATAAAGTATCTCCCGAGCCCAAAGAAATTTTACCCGTTTTGGAAGAATCGTTCTGCAGTAACACAACTGTGATCACCATTGACGAAGGACAACATCAAACGGACATTGCTCTTTGGGAACTATGGCGAAACAACGTCAAGGCAGAGCATGTATGCGTCAAGAAA